GTCAGGGTGGCCTGGCCTGGCCTCTCATTACAGAGATTTTCCTGCTCTTGTCCCTGAGCCTAAGGCCCCTGGAGGGCTGATCAGGCAGGTGGGCAGGCATTTGGAAGAAAAGATCACTTCAGAGCTGAGCATTGAAAGACAGGGAAGAAGGAAAAGTAGGCAGTAGGCAGGAGAACAGCAAATATAAAGGCCAGCAGGGGATGCAGGGGGTGGGGAGACGGGGAGCTGGGCAATGCCAAATTTAGTAGCAGATTGAAGGTGAGTGAGTCTGGCTATTGGGGGTTTGGTAGAGCATGAATTAGCTCCAGGGGCAGGGTTCTGAATCAGACCGGGTTCCATGTCCACTTTGGAGAGGCTTATCCATGGCCCTATTGTTCTCATAACACGAATAGCAGAATGTAAGGCAGACAAGATTTTCCTGATGAAACTAGGCAGAAGACAGACTGAGACAACATCAAGGGATCCACATTTAGATAACCAATCAGCAAATATTTATTGAGCACCTACTCTGTGCAGGAACTGGGAATACAACAGTGAATAAAATCCTTGCCCTCAAGGAGCCCAAGCTCTAGAGTGGGAAGACAGAAAAAAACAAAAGTGGATGAGTAATATGACAAGTGGTGGTAAGATAAAAATAAGGGAGGGTAGCCAACAGATAGACAAATGGCCAAGAACACACGAAAAGATGCTCAAAGCCACTGATCCCCAGGGAAAATGCAAATCAAAACCAATAAGACTCTGTGGCATCTTGCTACACTGATGGACAGTGACTGCAATGGGGTATGGGGGAGACTTGATAATATGGGTGAATATAGTAACCACATTGTTTTTCATGTGAAACCTTCATAAGAGCATATATAAATGACACCTTAATAAAAATAAAATTTAAATTTAAATTAAAAAAAATAGACACTACTTCATACCTATTTGGATGATTATTACTTTCTTTAAAAAAAGTAGAAAATAACAAATGTTGACAAGGATGTGGAGAAATTGGAATCTTGTGCTTAGCTGATAGGAGTCACAATGGTGCAGCCACTGTGGAAAACAGAAAGGCAGTTCCTCAAAAAACTAAATAGAGAATTGCCATATAATCCAATAATTCCACACTTCTGCGTATCTTCCCAAAAGAATTGAAAACAGGGATTCAAACAGGTATTTGTACACCCATGTTCACACCAGCTTTCTTCACAGTAACTAAAACATGGAAGCAACCCAAATGTTCAATGATAGATGAATGGATGTACAAAATGTGGTCTATCCATATAATGGAATTATTTTCTTTTTTTTTTTTAATTTTATTTTGATATCATTAATCTACAATTACATGAGGGACATTATGTTTACTAGGTTCACCCCTTCACCAAGTCCCCCCCACATCCCCATTCACAGTCACTGTTCATCAACATAGTAAGATGCTGTAAAATCACTACTTGTCTTCTCCCTCCCCATGCACACACTATACATGCTAATCGTAATGCCCCCTTTCTTTTTTTCCCGCCTTTATCCCTCCCTTCCCACCTGTCCTCCCCAGTCCCTTTCCCTTTGGTAACTATTAGTCCATTCTTGGGTTCTGTGCTTCTGCTGCTGTTTTGTTCCTTCAGTTTTCCTTTGTTCTTATACTCCACATATGAGTGAAATCATTTGGTACTTGTCTTTCTCCGCCTGGCTTATTTCACTGAGCATNCACTAAACTATGTTTTCTACCTTTATCTTGCATCTACCTACCACTTCAGCATTTTATTAAAAATAAAAATAATAATAATAATAGGAGAAATGTGGGATCAACATATAAATCAAGTACAAAAATCAAATGAATATTCATATTTGACCTGATGGTTTATAGGTCATATTGCATGATCAAAACCGAAAGTTTCTGTGATGACTGCCCTTGTACTGTTCACCATGTAAGAATTTATTCACTATGTAAGAATTCGTTCACCATGTAAGAACTTGTTCGTTATGCTTCAGAAGATTGGAGACTGACGAGAATTAGGCTTGAGATGGATTAATGAAGTGTGCATTGAGCATTGACCCCCCTATACAGAATTTTATTGTTGTTAACAACCATTTGATCAATAAATATGAGAGATGCCCTCTCAAAAAAAAAAAAAAGGAAAGAAGTTCTGACACTGACTACAACATGATGAATCTTGAGGACATTATGCTGAGGGAAATAAGCCAGATGCATCAAGGCAAATACTGTATGATTCCACTCAGATGAGGTCCCCAGAATAGTCAAATTAAGAGAGACAGAGTGCAATGGTGGGTGCCAGGGGCTGGCTGTGGGGCAGGGGGAGAGGGAATGAGGAGCTATGGTTTCTTGTGTGCAGAGTTTCAGCTGGGGTTTGGGAGGTAGCTATAAATGGACCGAATGCCACTGAGCTGTACACTTATAATGGTTAAAATGGTAAATCTTATGTTATGTGTATTTGACTACAATACACTTTGTTTGGAAAAGGGGGGAAAGGGGAAGATAATTCTGGATAGGGAGACACTATTATATGTGAGAAGGTATTGGAAGGGTTCATTGATCAAATGTGATTTGAGCAGAGATGTGTGTCCAGGGGAGTGTGACTGGTGAGAGGGCAGGCACCAGGCGGGGGTCCAGGACCAAGGCCTGGGCCGGGCAGATATCCTGGGGGTGAAGAAGAGGGACAGTTCCAGGAGGTGCAGTGTCTGCAGAAAGCAGGGGAACTGGAGGGCTCAAGGCCTCAGAAGGCTCTGACTTACAGGCTGGGCTTGAGTGGGCAGGTCAGGGGCCCAGAAGGAAGTAGACAGTACGTCCAAAGGCTTAACTGAAGAGAACTTGATGGAGGGATTATGCACAGAGGCACAGGTGGGAATTTGAGAATGAACCAACAAAGCATGGAGAAGCACCCAGACTTATAACAGTGGGAGCCATTACCCCCACTAGGCCTGAGGTGCCTCAGGAAGGAAACTCAGTGTCAGTGCTTGGCCAGAAGACCTGGAGCCATGGATGAGGGGCCACTGGATCCGAGCTGGAGAGGCTCAGCAGGCGAATAAATGCGTCACTTCTCTCTCCTCTCTTCTTCACTCTCCTGGTGATGCTTCCCCTGGGATGAGCCCAGCCAGAAGCCAGAAAGGAGCAAGGGAGCCTGGGCAATCGGTCAGCAAAGGTCAGCCTCCTGAGGTCAGAGCAGGGCAGCAAAGAAAGGAGAATGGACTCAGAGGGGCAAACAGAAAAACCAGTGCAGATGCCATTTGTTGAAGTGAGTCACACAAGGGAAGGAGCCCTATTTGGAAAATTAGCAGGCTGGTAGGCAAACTAAGGTAGAAGTGTATTGTTCTGAGACAGGGCAAAGGAGGACAAGGAGTGAGGGGCTCCAAGGGCTGAGAGGCTTCTTGGGTTCCCCCATGCCTCTTCTGGTAGACTAGATGGCCCAAGGCAGATGGGAAAGCTTGCTTGTAGCAGCTTGCAGACCCCTCTCCCCTTCCACTGTGAAGCCAGGGTGGGGCAGGGGCTGCAGCAGCAGGTGAGGGCAGAGCAGGAGGAGGTGTGCCCAGCAGGGCAAAGTGTTCCCAGCCTCTAGTCCCAGAGTTGAGGCTGGGGCTGGTCAGGAAACAATCAGTGTGGGGAGGTGTCATTAAGCCAATCTGACTGCATTTAAGGAACAGGCTTTACTCTGAGAGGATGCTGTGTCCTTGCACCTCCTCTGGCCTCCTCCACAGCCCCTCCACACACTCAGCCATGGCTCTCAGGCAAGGAGAGACTGGCAGGCTCTCCAGGGGCCCTGTCCTAGTGCTGGATCTGCCTACTCCCTGCTTTGCCTTGGGAGGCCCAGTCAGATGAAGGGACAGCCCCTCCTAGGCAGGGGGAACACACACACCAGTTCTAGCCAGCCCAAGGCCCCAGCAGATGAAATATTCATGCAGTCAGAAGGCAGGAGACCTGCAGAGGCCTTGCTCCAGGAGCTATGGGGCTGCAGTCAAGGGGCAGCAGCTGTAGCTCACCCAAGCTTCATTCTGCAGAGTAGGAGGGACCTGCAGTGCCAGGATCCCCTACCCACTGCCACACACACACATCCCAACACACTTCAAAGACACTTGCAGGTGAGAAACCTAGGGCAAGGGAGAACAGAGGGGAGAAGGATGCACACACTCAGATAGAGAAACACACCCAGAGACACACGAGTGTACAGATGAGCATCCACACACTTAAATGGATACAAACTCACAATAAATATACACTCCACCCAGGGACGACTCTCAGTGCAATATAAATGCCTTCTTAAAATCTGTGCCTCAGGAAACTCACTTGCCTCACCCTAGTCCCTGCCCTGCTCAAGCCTGCTCTGGCACTTCCAGCCCGGCAACCTGAAACTTGGGGGGCTCCTCCAGACAAGAGCCTGGATGTTCCTGGCTTCCCTTAGAGAAATGTCTCTAGAATTCCAATGCCCCTCTGGAAGCCTGCCCCACCCATCTCCACTCTGCCTGCTCACTGTTCAGTCAAGGAAAGAGTGGCAGGAGCTGCAGGACAGACCGGCCACCCAGGGTCAGGAAGAGAGTAACCAAAGGTTGCGGAGCTTAGGACTCCAGATGCCCAACCCAGCTCCACTAAAGTCCAGCGATTCCATTCACAAAATCCTCTCCCTGTTGTGATGTGCCCCACTAGCACCTTGCCCGGCTTGGGTCCCGCCACCAGGAAGCATTATGAATGGGCATCCTGGGGACGTCTTCCAGCGGGATCCCAGGAACCTCTTAGACATAAGGAACTCACTCTGTATCCTGGCGAGAATTCAGGATAGAGAGTTCCAATCTCAGTTCCAAATGAATAACCAACCTCCCTACGGACGCCTCCCAGAGCTGGTGAGACACCACCCTCAAGGGGTGGAACGGAAGTCTGCGTTGAGGCCTTCCTTCACCGACGCCGGGTCTCTGGCCTCAGCTGCTGGAGGCCCTCCAGGCCTGCGGAGGGCGCTGTGAGAGCCAGGCCGCTCTGGCCGGCGGGAGGGCAGGGAGGCCGTCTCCATGGTGGTGCTCTGTCCAGCATTTCAGCAATCTGCGGCGGAGGCCGCGGAGAGACAGAGGGCGCGGGGCCGCGGCGGCCGCAGAGCTGCCTGCCGAGCCGAGCCGAGGAGGCGGACCGGACAACGCAGGGCCTGGCTTCAGCGCCCGGCGGAGCGCGGCGGTCAGCGCGGAGGTGAGAGCCCCTCGTGGGGCGGGAGCATTTCCCAGAGGGGCTGGGGCTGGGTTGAACCTCGGGCCTCCCCAGCTGGGCTGGGGCTCAGGGTCCGCAGGCCCTGGGGTAGACGGTAGGTTGGGGGACTGCTAGAGTGTTTGATCGGGGGTGCTAGGCACCAGGGGAACAGAGATGAGGAACGTTGTTATTTCACTGAGAGGGTTGGGGAAAGTGAGAGCACTGTGGGGTCGTGGGCAGGACTCCCTTGGCCATTAGTGACCGTGGCCCGGCTCATAAGGATGCTGTGGAGGCCCCCAACTGAAGTCCAGCTGCCCTCCCCGAGCTGAGGAGAGGACCTGCTCCCTAGAGAAGGGAGAGACCAATGCAGACAGCCTGTGGAGATGCTGGTTACTGGGAGGGGTAGAGGGAGCAAGCTCCCACCTGAATGCTAGGTTTCTATTCAGCAGGAGGTGGAAGCTTTGGGGACAGTCTGGCCCCTTTCCCAGATGCCCAAATGCCCCTGAGAAAGTAGGCGCTGGTATCTGGAACTGGGTCTCACACAGGATGGCATTCACTCTCACTCTGGGAAGAGGATGGGGAACATGGATGAAAAAATAGCCACTGGGAGTTTAGGGGATTCCTCTGCAGTCTCTCTGGATGCCCAGGGAGAGTTTCTGGAGTGGACCCAACTCCAAAACAAATTCTTGGTGAAAATGGGAGGTGAGAGAAGAGACACAGCCTCTGCCTTGCATCCTCCTCCCCCTCCCTCCCAGGGCTCCTGCCTGGACAGTGTTGAAGCCTCCTGCAGTTCCTGCTCCTGGCAGCAGGTCCTCTGTGGGGATGGATTTGGGCGGGAGCAAGAGAAGGGCACTCGGGTCTAGCCTGATATTCCAATGCCTGTGCTTTGTCCAGCCATGACTTCTCACTCCCTTGAGACCTCAGTCACTCACCCACTTCTGGCACCAGGGCTGGTCTTTTGTCCTGTGTTTAGAGAAAAGCAGGTACTTTGATGAAGAGCAGAACAGGCGCTGGAGTTTCTCTGTCCAAGGGGCATCCTAAGGTCATGGCCCCAGCAGGTTCCAGATTCCTCCCCAGCCAGAAATAGGACCAAGCGGGCTAGGAAATTGCTCCCACACAACACCAGCTTTTTGGCTCCTTGACTTTATGCCCCATCCCACTCTCCTGTGCCAGGTGGAGGAGGAATTCTTGAAGAGTAATAAAGAGTTGGTTGGATTTTTAAGAGGTGGGGGTGGGTAGGGAGTCAGGGACTCGGAAGCCTGAGAGACATGGGTACCAATGTGAACTACATGATTTCAGGTAAACCACTTAACCTTCCTGAGCCTGTTTCCCAATCTGTAAAATGGGTAGTGTTAATAGTATCTGCTCTGCTGTTAAAAGAAATAACCCAGATAATGGATGGGGAACTACTTTTAAGCTGTAAAATGTGAGGTGAGTGTTAGTAAACTGAATGGAAGTAAGCATTTCTGAGGAAGGAGCTGGATAAAGGTGGAAAAGTTTCTGCTTTGTTTGGAGCACATCTTTCTCTTCCTAGAGAAGGTGGGCATAGGCTGAGGGCCTTGCACCAGACTCCAAGCTAAGTAAAATGCTACAGTTGGCTCAGTTAATCCTCACAAAAAATTTCACAAGGAAGCCATCATTGTCCATATTTCACAGCTGAAAAATGATACTTGAGTAACTTAACCAAGGTCATGACGCCACCCAAGCTGTCTTCCCTGGGGCAGAAGTGGAGCTGATGACCTGTCCCAGCCCCTTGATATCAAGGCCCAGTTAAATGCCAGTTTCTTGATTCATGATGCCAGCTTTCCAGGTGGAGAGCCTGAGGCATATGGGTGAGGGTGTGCAGTGCAGTGAGGAGCTGAGTCCCCCAAGGTCACTGGGATATTTGGAGGTGGAATGTGCTTTAAACTGGCCAGCTGGGTGCCCCCACCACAACCCACCTCTGCCTCTGCCAGAGGGAAAGTCTGGGTCTGGCAGGCTCATCTGTTCACTGCCTCACCCACTTCTCACTTCCTCTGCCTGCCAGCCTCTTGCTGACCTAGGCAAGCCAGTGACTGCCTGTTCCTTTCCGAGCGGTTAGCTCTCACCCCCTGAGATAGGGCCACAGTCATAGGCAGCTGCCAACATTGCTGGAGTCAGCTTCCCCTACTGACTTTTCTCTTCTTCTGCCCACTACTTACTGCCCCAGCAGCCAATGGGGGCTCTGCTGAGGAGATGGGGGGAATCCACCCTCTCTTCCTTAACTCCTACGAACACTCTGAGCCTCCACATGGACCTGTCACTACACCTACATCATCCAATTTCATCCTCACATAACCTGGTGCCGGAGGTGCTGCTACCTCCCTGTCACAGAGCAACAAAACAAGGCCTGGAAGTGATGTGACTTTCCCAAGGTCACAGAGCAAGGTCTTGGTGCAACCCAAGCCCACTGCCTCAGGGGCCCAGTGTGGTTTCCACAACACCACCTGAGCCTCAATTCCCCAGGCTGTCCTGGGTGTGGGCCAGTGTGGGAAGGGGAGTGGGGCATTTGGTAGAGGTCACTGAAGAACTCTGGGACAGGAATTCAAGGACCTTCTTTCAGGGTCCATCTCTGACCCTGGCTCCTTGTGTGACCTTGAACAGGTCCTTTCCTGTCTCTGGACCTCAGTGTCCTCAACCATAAAATGATGGGATTCGATTGGATGACACCCTGCCAGCACCAAGATTTTAAGATCTCTCTGCTCTATAAATCTGTATGTTGGGAAGCCCGCGGTTCCTTGGCAGAGGTAGAAGTTGACTCCAGTGTTTCCAGGTTTGACTTATTATTTGGAGCTAAGATTTAAAATTCATCCATGGGGTCTTACAAACACGAGGTCTTAACTAAATAGGAGTAAATATAGATTGGAGATGCCAGGGAGATCTTTGAACTCTTTTGGCTGTACCAGGATTAAGCCCTTTTGGCCCAGGATTTGGGGTGACCTGTAGAGACACCGAAGATGCCCTCCACACACCTCCCAGAGCTGTTTGCCAGAGCCCAGGAGCCCCAAGGACACACACACAGGTGCAGTATCCAGGGGAGCAGCAGGCGGGCAGTGGCTGAGGCTTATTCATGTAATCTTGGAGACAGGGAGGTTTTTGCAGCAGATGCTCTAAAGAAAGGGTGCAGGGCCCTGCAGGAGGAAGTGGGACATATGACGACTAGTCCAGCTGAACAGAGAGGGGCAGCCAGGCAAGAAACCCAGAAGTGCCTTCTCAGTTCCAACACCTGAGCTCTGTGAAAGGGTGGGGAGCTCAGAGAGGGGAAGAGTTTAATGAAGAGAGAAAGGATGAGAAATCAGTCCCTCAGTGAGAGTGGATTCAGAGAGCAAGAGGGGTAGGGGGTGCTCAGTGAGGACAGACTGAGACCAGAGAAAGGGCAGGAGGCCCCAAGGAGGGCTCATTACCAACAGTTTCAGCCCCCAGCCTGGCCCAAGTTCTCGTTGTGGCTTAGCGGCTGATGACCCCTCTGGGCTCTGGCCCACTCACCGTCTTCTGGGGCATGACCACAGGAGGATGACAACTCCATCCCCAGAGGCTGAGTCCTACTGACTCCATGTCATCCAGAATGAGGGTCTCAGGGGGGCCAAGAAGGTGAGCCAGTCTAGGCTGCCCAGGCTGACTACTGGCCTAGGAGAAAGGCCTCAGTGACTATTAATGCTTTGGTTCTGGAGCAGCCCCCGAGCCCCAGGGGCTGCCCCCCTATAGCCAAAAGCCACCTGCCCATCCACCCACAGCGCTGCTTCCTCAGCAGTCAGCCTGGCTTCAGCCTCCTGCCACCCCCGCCCTGGCCTGCTGCCCACTGCAGAGGCAGCCTTGCCAGCTGGAGCTGGCCGGCAGTGCCACAGCTCCCTTAGTACCCTGCTGGGGCCTTTGAGGGCCATGAGGCAGCCTGAGCCCAGTGAACTGGACCCTGGGGTACAGGCAGCATACTGAGCTGGGGATCTCTTGGCCTGCCTATTTCTAGCTTTGAGTATGGTCTGTGGCTCTGAGACCCCTCCCCATATTAAGCTCCATCCCTACTACCAGTCCCCAAACACCCCAGGATAGAGATAGGAAAAGTAAGTTTCATTGAATTCTTCTGATTTTAAGACAGATAGCCTTTGCGAACATGGGGGTGGGGGATATTTCCTTCCAGGATTTTGTCCATGTGTTCACAGACCCGTAGAGTTAAATAACTGGGAGCATGTTGTTGGGGAAGTTGGCATCCTATTTTTCGCTCTATTGTGACAATTCTCTGATGTCTTTAAAGATTCTTCCAAAAGCATATTTTTAATGGCTGGAGGAGGGCTAGGCATGAGTGGAGCTGCTTCCCATATTGCCAGTGAGAGCTGTGGGCAGAACCTTGCCCCTGCCCTTCCCTTTTGGCTGGGGCACAGCTTTGGGGCCTGCTGTCCCTGGGTTTCCATTGGATAGGATGGCTTTGGGGCCTGTGACAAAGTCAGCCAGAGACTGAGATGAGAAGGGACAATGCTGGGGCGGTGGCGGGGAGCATGTGAGCGTCAGACATCCCTGAGGGGAGGTGGAACCTCAGTCCAAGACCTCAGAAGAAAGAGCTCAGAACTGTGAACCAGCGATTGCCAGTCTCCTGGGTTCTGATCTCACCTGGGCCTCAATCTCCACAATCAATTGCCTCCCATCCACAATCCCTCAGGAGCCATAGGTTATGATGCTACCTGCCTCCAAATGTGCCTAGAGAATAATTCGGGCAGAAGGGGGTGAAAGGGCCCGAGGGAGGATAAAATCCAGAGCACCCCCGAGAGCGGTCATCAGAGTGTGTGAGGCTATACAGTCAGCATGTACCGAGCACCTCCTGTGTTCAAGCACAGTATGACCACTGAGGACACAGGTGAATCAGACAGTGGCCCTGACCTTGAAGAGCTCTAGCCCAGTGGGAGAAGGAGGCATTGGTGCTGCCAGTGACAATCTGTTGAGGTCCTGGTAGAACTAAGATGTCCACGGTGGTGTGGGCAGCCCAAGGAGGCTTC